GCATGTGGTGCTGGGGGATTGAACCGCGGTCCCTGATGCTTTTGCTAAGCTTGTTCCAAGTAGGTGCTTTAGACCACTGAGCCATCTCTCCAGCCCTCTCATTTGTTTTAGATTTGATTATATAACTACAAATTTAGTTCATATGGTTAAAGGTGGCAAGTTGATGATTACCTCAGTCTGTCATTATCTAGGCTGCTTGACACTACTGTTCTTGCTGATGGTGCCACTTTAGCCAAAGTGACATAATTATTCTAATCCATTGAGAATCATAGGAAACACTGTGGGCCAATGCCAAAAAAACCAAGTAGGCAGCAACCTTGAGCCAAGTAGGCAGCAACCTCTCATCCCCAACAAACTGAAGAGGTAAGATCTTGCAACAGATTCAAAACCCAAAAACCAGCTACACCTGGAAGACACCTCTGAGAAGTAGTCATTCTTGATTCTGAATATTAGCAATAAAGCAACTCACAATAGGCAATTTACAAGCATCAACCCAGTGAGAAAGAGAAAGAGAGCTAGAGCGAGAGCCAGAATGAGAGAGAAGAAAATGAGAAGACAAACAAAATGCAACCACAGATATCCAATTTACCAAAGGTATAGCCAGGGGCCAATGAGGTGGGACAATCCAAGAGCCACTGACCTGGCCTCTCTGAAGTGCTAATAATAAAGCAAATGAATGAGGCTTTCTAAAACAAAACAAAACAAATAAATCAGAAATAATTTCTCAGATACTACAGAGATGGAAATGAAAAACATGATAGTGACTCCAGAGCAGATATAGGTGAAAAAATATAGGTGTTTAGGAAAATGATGGAAACCATGAAGTACCAGCATGGGAAAGATATACCAGCATGGGAAAGATATTGGATCCATAAAGCAGATTCAAACAGATAACCAGGATATTAAAAATTCCATTGAAATAAATAAAAGAGAAAAAATAAAAATTGCATATATTTTATTTTTTAAATTCCATGGAAAGTATTCACAGCACAATGAACCATTGTGAGGACAGTCTCAGACAGGAAATCATGAAAGGAAAGATTTCTTAAAAATAGTAAGGGACCATGAGACATCAATTCAGCAGCTATTAGATGAAATAAAGAATAGCATAGGACAAATTATACTCAATAAAAAGCAAGAGATAGCACAAATGATATAAAAGGAAACCTGTGCAATAGTCATGACAGAAAACTTTCCTGGCAGGGAAAAGGAATTTGGCACATAGATAAGTGGGGAATGTAGAACTTCAATTAGCTATGATTAAAAAAAAAAAAAATACAGCCAAGAATATCATAGTCAAAATTTCACTTTTTTATTTTTGGGAAAGGGTCTATAGGGTGT